CTTGAAATATGAACAATTTAGTAAATTTTATATACAATTATTCATTTATAGAGATTAAGTTAATGACTACCAAGTTATATTCGATATTCGATAGAAATCGGAACATGTCGAGTCATGTTATTAATTTATAAAACAAATAAAGTATACTATTAATTACATGTTCCGATTTTTGCTTAAATAACTTTTGAAAAATTGATTTCAGAAAAAAATTTATTTATAACAAATTGTAGAAAATTTAATTATTAATAACATTGCTTTCTTTGACAATCTTGATAAAGTTGATAGTTTTTAAGATAAATGATAAATAATGATTCAAGACACAGAGAGGCCGATGCAACGCATGAGTCAGAGAGAGACAGCGATACTTAAAGGTAAGCGACGCATACTTGTAAGCGCGCGAAATTAACAATTAAAAAACAGATATAAACAATGAAATTTTTTTAAATCTCTATTAACAATATTATTAACTATTGTATAGAGAATTTAAAAAAAAATATTACTTATACATTATTTTTTTTTTTAATATATTTTTCATGGGTCGAAAGTACCCAAATTTGAGATTTTTCGAACCTTTAAAAATTCATATCTTTGAAAATATTAACTTTATCGAAAAAAGTTATAGGACCTTTTTTATTGGTATTTCAACAAAGAATATAAAAAAAAATTTGTCCGGTTGAAAAATAACAATTCTTTGCAATTGTTTAAACAATTTTAGTTTAAACAATATGGCACCGGGTTGCCCCATGGCAACATGCATTTATATCATCAGTAGGGCAATTTTAAGAGGATTGCATAAAAAAATTGAGGTGGAATAGTTTTCGGTACTCATGCGCCGATTCCTCCTGGACTAATAAGCGTGCCAAAAGAACCCGAAATACAAATCTTTTTTCGTTGTTCAGAGCAAAGAGAAAAGAGTTGAAATTAGAGTTAACGCATGCACGTGAAAATTATCTAAAGACTGCCCTATCAAACCTACCTAGTGGCACAACAGTTTGGAGTAAGCTCAGGCACCTGGGCCTAATTAGAAATAAATCGTCTCCCCTTAGCTATTTTGATGCGTCCGAATTAAACAAGCACTTTGCTACTATGGTGCGTCGACATCCTTCGTGTCATCTAGAGTATCTCGACTGGCTTTCATCGTACCGTATTCAAGTAAATACTTACTTTGAATGATCTCAGATTGATATAGTCGATGTAACTAAAGCCTTACAACTAACTTTGCAAAAATCTAACGGTAAAAGCCCTGATGGGCTGGATATAAAATGGCTAAAAAATAATATCCCACAAATTTCAATATTCTTTACTGCTCTCTTTAATCGATCTTTAGTCACTGGTGTTTTCCCAACTCTATGGAAGAAAGTATTCATTGTTCCGTTGAATAAAGTCTCACCACCAAAAACTTTGTTCGATACTCGTCCGATAGCCAATATCTCTCATTTGAGCAAGGTATTTGAGAGAATAGTTGCGAATCAAGTCGTGAGTTATCTTGAGGATAATGAATTACTTGATAAGTATCAATCAGGTTTTCGTAAATACCATAGCACCCAGTCAGCATTATTAAAACTAGTGAATGATGTTAGTAAAGCTATGGATGAAAATAAATTAACAGTCTTAGTGCTCTTTGATCTAACAAAAGCCTGTGACTTTGTTGATCATAAAGTAATCCTAAAAACCCTAGTACAGTTGGGCTTTACCCTGAATACAATATCTTGGTTCCATTCGTACTTAAGCAATAGGTCACAATCAGTATTAGATAATGAGGGTTTACCAACTGAATTTCTTGAAACTACCTCTGGTGTCCCCCAAGGTTCAGTCCTTAGGCCCATATTATTCCTTCTGGTAATGAACTCAGTTGCTGAGCGTTTGAGTCATAGTGAGTATGGTCTTTTTCCCGATGACAAATACATCTACCTACATTTTTATCGGTATTAGTCTCAAGAAGCGATCAGGCAAATCACAGTCGACGCTCAATCAGTTGGTGACTGGGCGTCTGAAAATGGCCTTGAAGTAAATCTAAGCAAAACTAAAGTTATGATTCTTGGTTCTAGTAAAAATTTGTGGTTAATGAAACAGGAGCTTTTGTCTTCTATTGTTATAAATGGAACAGAAATACCCTTTTCGGAATCGGCAAAGTGTCTAGGACTTCATATTACAAATACATTATCATGGAATTTACATGTGTCAAAGGTAGTAAGTAAAATAAATTCAGCCATGTACAGCTTAAAACTGAGGAAAACATTTATACTTTGGATATTAGAAGGTTATTAGTTTCAGCAACTATTTTACCACTCATCGATTATTGTTCTATTATTCTAACAAATGCAACTACCGAAAATAATTTAAAATTACAGCGAGCCTTAAATTCTACTATTCGTTTTATCTACAATCTAAGACGAGATGAACATGTCACCCCTTACAGACGTGAACTGAAATGGTTATCTATCACTAGTCGTAGATTATATTATTTATCTACCTATTTTTATAAATTATTGGCAGTTGGAAAACCTACTTACTTACGAGAATTATTTATTGATTATGTTGAGGCTAGACGGTCCGATCGTTTAGCCATTTTGAGAAATGATGTTAATTTTAAGATACCTAATTTTACGACTACTCTTTATGAGGGTGCGTTTGTTGTCACTGCTATTCGTTTATGGCAAAACCTACCACCTGAGATTGTAAATGCGTCTAGTCTTGATTTATTCAATTGTATTGCGTCTAATCTTTGATTATTTGCTAAATTTGGATACTTGAAAATTAAATTAACACTCTCAAAATGTTTAAAGTAAACTGTCAATTTCATCTTTGTTATCAGAATTAGAGAAATCTTATAAATAAGTCCTTATTTAAAAATCTATGTAATAATCTTTAATCTAATTTTAAGTTATGTTAATAATATGGCAAAAAACTCTTAGAATTTATTTACACTTTTATATTAGTAGTATTTTACTATAATATTGTATACTTTACTATTTATCATGTATTCTTATGTATTTTTTCATATTTGCCATTTGGCCAGCTAGGCCTTGGCATAAATAAACAAATCAAATAAACATTCTAAATAATGATATCTTAAAATTTCCTATTTTTCTCATTAGTAAAGCATTCAATAATTTGTAAATACTTATAATTATTTGAATTTCTATCATAAAAACATTCTTTTTCCTTCAGGCCACCATCTCCATTGCCATCTCACAATGGCTTTCAAGAGTCAGGATTTAATACAAGTTTTGATGCTGGATCAATAGATAGTCGGTCAACAGCAAAAAGTTTTGATTGTTCAAGATATGATGATGAGCATAAGTTAATCGCTAAATATGCTCATCGATTAGCCCAGGAAACTAAAACAGTGGTATGGTAACAAAAATATCAATAGTTTCTAGAAAACAGTTTATCATGGTTTATCATGAGATTGTAAACTCGTTACAGTGAACTTGGAAGTATTGGCTAGATAGAAAAAATTACTGTAGAATTAGAATTAATCAGTTATTACTATGTGATTTTCTTCCGGGGAAATCATAACTTTAGTTACGATTTTCAATTACACGTTACTTTAGTATACCTTTTGGGTGAAACTCCTTCGTGAACTGAAGTGGGTACTTAGTGCTTTGACACTTTATTAAGCTCAGATGGTCTATTCACGATATGGTTCCGTCACAAGTAAACCGCAGACAATTAAACCGTGACGAATAGTCTTGTTATACCCTTCTTTCTACAACCGGTTGACGTGTCGTTGGTTAAGGGGTTACATGGGTTTCGTCGGGTAAAAAAAAGGCCTATTTTCAATAATTTTTTTTTTACAAAAAATTATTTATTTAATTCAAACTTTTTTCTGTCTTAAAGATACACATTTTAAGAATAATTTCTGAGATTTTCAAAAAAAAAAAATTAAAACTCCGCCATTGTGACGTCATTTCTCGGAACTGTGTTTTCAAATTCGGTTGTCAAAATTTTTCGAAAACTACTTAACCGATCTTGATGAAATTTCACACAGGTGTTCGAGATACAATTTACTCGTGCTTGTATGGAGGATTTTTTTTTCAATTATAACTATTTAAAAAAAAAATGTCGAGTAAATTTGACCGAAATTTTCATTTTTTGGAAAAAGGTTTGCCAAAATTCCAATTTTTACTTTTTTTTTTCTCCATTCAAGCACGAGTTTATGGTCTTAACTAAAAGACGTATTTTTGTTTTTTCATATTAGATGATCCTGTCAGGAATTATGCTGACAGCGCGGACGCACCTTTTTTCGAGGGGTCACCGGAAATGACGTCACAATGGCGGAGTTTTAATTTTTTTTTTTGAAAATCTCAGAAATTATTCTTTAAATGTGTATCTTTAAGACAGAAAAAGTTTGAATTAAATAAATAATTTTTTATATAGAAAAAAAATTATTGAAAAGAGGCCTTTTTTCCCCTACGAAACCCATGTAACCTCTTAAATTGTTATCAGGTTGAACTATCGTTCGGTTGAAATGTCTTCGGATGAAATGTACTTCGGTTGAAGTATCGTCGGTTGATATGTCGCTGTAGAACTATCGCGGTTGTATTGTCTGCGGTTTACTAGTTGCGGCACCTCACGATATATTTGTGATGTACATACAGTATATCCACTATACAAAGGTCGTGTGCTTGTGGCCGTCATAAGACCAATTCGGACCACTATGTCAATGCCGAACTTTGTAATTAGGGCTGTTTAACAAAAAAAGCTAATCATAATTTGGGACTTTCTCAGTTTTTCCAGAATCATCACACTCAACAGATGGGTAGAATCCTTAGCAGTTTCACCGTCACGGTTAAAATAGAGTCGATTCACAATGAATTGTTGGTCAATCCCGCATGAAAAAACTATATATGGCTGAACATATATGGAAAGTTATATGGGGAATATGTGATCATATATAGCAGCAAAATTATATATATGAAATAATAAATATTTTATTAATATAATAAAAATATATTTGATTTAATATAAGTTCAAATATATTACAGCCGTATATTACATAGTATATGTTATAAAATATACTATTATTATATAAAAATTACTTATATAGAAAACTATATATATAATAGATAAATATATTTTTCGTAAAATGTATGTTGAGATAGATTATTACTGTATACTTTCATGTATAAAATTTCAATTATATGGCACTATATATTTTATATTATTGTAAAATACCATACATAATACCAGATATTTATGATGTGTCGAAATAGCTCAAAACGGAAAGATCTCAAAGACGTATAATTTGAGACTCATGCACTGTTGGCTTAAAAAATATTTTTCTGACTCTTTTGGTTGTGAAAAGACTCCAACCTTTTGATATTTATCACGTGATATTGACATTTTATAGTTTTTTTTTTATCTATAGACTATTTTACACCTTCCTAAAGTTCGAGTGAAGTTAAGAGATTTTCTCTATGGCCCAAAACAGCTCCGTGAGTGTTTAAAGCGTTAAATTCATCCTTGAGTCTTACCCTGAAAGACTATGTTGGCGATTAATCGATTGTTTTTTACATTTTAATGATTTCACACCTCCCAAAAGTTATGAAACAATTAAAAGATTCTCTTGTAGGATCAAATTTTACACATTAAGTTTTAAAACATCCACAAAAAAAAGGTTCACTTGAGCCAAGAAAATATTTTTCTTCCTAATTATTTTCTTAAGCGAAAAAAAAATTTTTTTTGACACAAGAAATTTCACTTATTCCAAGAAAATTAATTCTCTTGCTTTAAGAAATACGTATCTTGATCCAAGAAAATTTATTTAAGTCAAGAAAATCTTATTGTTTTGAGAAAATTTAGCCTCTTGCTCCAAAAAATTTAGTTCTTGATAGAAGTAAATTTTCTTGTCTTGAGAAAATTTCTCTCTTGCTCCACAAAATTAAATGTCTCGATAGAAGTAAATTTTCATTAATATTCTTATTGATTAAAATATCAAATGGAAAGATCAAATAATATTGAATCATTTTTTTTGATTCAATATGTATAATTGCACGCTAAAATAATATAAAATGGGTATCAAATATTCAAAAGAAAAATTTTCTCAAAGTGAGAAAATTTTTTTCTCAGCTGAAGTAGGTGGCGCTGCTTCCCTAAAGTATCTAAATATCTTGATCAAATATAAAGATTTATTGTATCAAGTATTTATGATAATTTGAATGAAGAAAAAATTACTCCCATCAAGAATAAAATTTCAAAAAAAATTTTTACTTCGGCCAACACAACTTCGGTCTTCCTTCAGGCATCCGAAAATTTTCTTGAGCCAAGAATTTTGTTCTCCAGTCAAGAAATTTTTCTTTCTGTGTCGAATTTATATGAATAAAATAAGTTTCTTAATTATTATTTGTACTAATGGTATAACTATATAATAAAATAAATATTTAATACTCTAATGCTGGTATTTTATTTTCAGAGTTACAAAGAGATATAGAATAAATTATTAAAAACGATTTAATATTTTTTAACATTATTAATTTTATTACGTTAAAAGTTCATTATCACATAAGTCTGCGCAAGCAACGTGCAATTTATTTTTCGATAGTTCAAGTAGTATTACTTTTTTCTCAATTTCTTCGGTGCTAATTGCTGAATATTGACTACTTTTACTGTTTACCAACATTAAATGATCCAACCGCCTATCGCGTATTAACGTTTTTTTACTTTGTCCAAAGAAATTTCCAATGCAATAACTTTGATTATTTAAATCTGATTTAATTCCAACAAATATTTTGACTTGAAAAATTCGACCGTCTTTTAATTGAACATTAAAATTTGCTCTTTTTTTTTCACGGGTGTAAGAGGTACTCGTAATTATCTTCTCATTTATTATTCCTCGCTTGTAAATAAAAAAAATACCATTTTTATTAACTATGATTTCCGATCGCTGGAATGCAGTGAGTTGATACGGGAGTAATTGAGATAATATTACTGGTTTTCCTAAAACACCGACATTTCCAAGTAGTAATTTAGAAGATGGCCTTGATTTCCGATTCAACATCTCATCCAAGTACTTTTTTTGTTTGTGGTTTAGATGATTTTGACAAATAATCAATAATCTGTCAATGCAGCATTTTATTCGGAATGAATCGCAAATTTGTATATGAACACCATTAGAACTTTTTACATACTCTTGTATCGTCTGATTAAAATCTTCATATATAAAAGCGCTATGAGTAGGAAGTGGTCCCCAGTTTTTAACACTCTCAGATAAATGTGCCAGTAAATGAACATTAAAACTGACATGTTTCTTTCCATAAAGACTTTCGACTCCAGCAATAAATTCATGTAAGCATTGACCAGCATAAACTAATTCAGATTTCATAACAGACTTTTTGACTAATATAGAAATGCCGTCAACTAATAATGCCCAATGATCAACAAATTTTTTTGGGAACACAAGTTTAAGAATCGGTAGACTGTATACAAAAAGAAAAGCCACCCATTCGTGAGCTTTAAAATGAACTCTGTCGGATAGTTTTCTTGGCGTTCTTGAAAATGTTGAAGTAGGAAAAAATGAGGTTATTAAATTATCCACAACATCAATTCGGTCTCCAAAATAAAATTCTTCATTGCTATTTTTACTGTCAAACCAAAGCCCTGCAAACTGCCGACAAACTCCCAACCCCACACAGTGCATCCAGTCTACATCCAAACTTTTAATAATGTCAAATCCAGGAATGTCGCATAGGACTGATCTACTTTTGATACCTTTTTTTTTAATTTTTTTGTTTTTCTTCTGCATGTCTTAATATTTCACGGTGAGATTTTAATCCTTCGCCAAGGGCATTGCCATTGACGATAGGATATACTCTGGCATGACCTCGACCTTTTGCAATGGGGACCGAGCCATAACTGTAGAGGCAGCACATCTGTCGAAAGTGGCGCGCCCTGGTGTTAAATAAAAGCAAAAAACGGGTAAAAATTTTAAAAAGTATGATAATAGCTTGGGTATTTTTTTGTTAATAATAGAAAAAATAATTAAATATGGTTTTCAACCAATAAACAATACACTTATTCATGGTCAAAATGATATAAAAGGTAAAAAATTACATGAATCTGGACATGTTTTTGATGTGGTTGAAAAAAAATTATTGAATGGTCTAGTAACCATAACCGCTGATGTTGTTGCTCAGACAAGTGTGTCTAAAACATATAATGTTAAAATTACAGTAAGTATTTATATTCAACTTTTTTTAAACTTTATTACATAATTAAAAAATATAAATAATAATCTTAATCAGAAAATTATTGTTTTTAGCTAGATGATCAACGCAATACAAGCGATGCTGTGTGTACGTGCAAACCCGGATTATCTGGGAAATGTAAGCATATTTGTGCTGTCGTCTATTACGTAAACTCACCTGATTCTGCTGATTCAAAAACAAACCATGGTCAAGAATGGGGAAAACCATCTCGTCACCAGCTCTTGGAGTATGAAAAAGGAGTAAAAATAAGTAAATTATTTACTCTACCACCTTACATCGATAATAATCCTAAAGTTGTACCATTAAAATTAGAATCACTCGTTTTTCCAGAGGATATGTCCGACTGTCCTCTGTGTACTATGATAAACATAGACAAGAGAGATAAGAGTGAAATTATTGCAGCTGAATCACTTGTTAATTTAGTAAAAGTATCTGATAAGCGTGATGTAGAAACAAAAGTGAATAACGTTATCCAGGAAGTAATTCAGCTGCAATTGGTGAATAAGATTTATTCTCAAGAAAATTTCGTAGCATGTGATGTTTATGAGTTTTATTTGAAAGAAGTGTGTTGTGATAGTACGAAAATTACAAATATTTGCATTGAAACTATTCTCCAGTCTAAGATAGACGAGTGGTACAAACAGCGTATCTTCCGAATAACAGCAAGTAATGGTCACAAATTAAAAGGGGATCGTTTTGATATTGAAAAAGCAATCACTAACTTATTAACACCAAGTAAAGCTGATACACAAGCTACGGCGTATGGTAAGAAAATGGAAAGTGTGGCTCTAAAAGAATACAAAAAGCTTGTGGACCCAAATTTCGAAATTGTTCACGTCGGTGTGATCATTAACATTAATCAACCCTGGTTATGCTGCTCGCCGGATGCTATTTTGATTTATGGTTCTGCTACTTGGCAAAAAAAATTAGTCGAAATAAAATGCCCTTATACGTGCAGGAAGATACCTGTATATGATGCTGAGAGTGGAAAATGTAATGTGCAATACTTGAAATCAGATGAAAATGGATTATACCTGAGTACAAATCATTCCATTTATACTCAGATCAAGAGCATTTAACACAGCCGATGAAATCGCTGAATGCAGCAATCTATTAGCCACCGAGTCGGGAATACCCGAAATAACTAACTCCGTTGTACATCCTAGTGCAGGTATTTCAGAAGAAGTTGCTTTGCTTTCAGATCTAACTGATTTGCTCAGATCTATCAGATTAGTATGCATAATATTCATATGTTTTATTGACTTCTTTTAATTTTTCGGTGTCCATATTTAACTTTGAAATAGACTGAGCATTTATTTTTACATTAGATTTGACTTCCGATAGTTCAGTCACAGTGGTAGCTTGAGAAACTTTGAGGTCAGTAATTTGTGTACTGAGTTCTTCAAGTTTCTTGTTTACCAACATGTTCAACGATAAGAACTGTTCCATCATAGCTGTCATCTTATCATCAAGTGACTTTTCAGACCAATTCGAAGGTAGCTGCAACATTGCTGGTGATGTTGTTGGTAAGGTGACAGATGACAGAAAAACTGAGTCGAGACTTGGAGATATCGGAGAAGCTGGTGTTCTCGAAGACTTAAGTGTTGAAGTTGATCCACGTGATGTAAATGTACGGTCAAGAGGAGAAGAACTTGCAGACTTTTAGCTAGAAACTGAAGAGGTGTTGGAGCTAGTAGATTTCAGTGACACTGATATCTTTAATTTTACGTCCAACTTTTCTAAGAGATAGTTAAATTGTTTTCTGCAGCAATCAGTGAGCGGTCTATTTTTTATGTAATCACGCGCACAACCTGGATGAAAGTGTTGTTGATAAGTGTTACAGATAACAGATAATTTGACAGGTCTCTTGCATTTAACACATATGTCAGACGGCAATGGCATAACCAGAAGATTGAAAAAAAAATTACCGTAAGGTGACCAGACAATTTAATACCAAATTACAAATTTCCAGTCAGAAACAAGATAAATGACCAGTTATTTATAGTGTCACTTATACCTTCTCAGTACAAACACTATTCGTATTTTGTAAATTCTCAAGCTGTAACAAAGAGGGTGGCAAGAGATGAGAGAGGAGGTGCTTGGGGATGATGATGAAAGAGAGGGTTGGCTAGTTGAGATAGAGAAGTTAAGGGAGGGAAAAGGACAGAGCTGAAGGTAGAAAGGTGCAGCGGAAATGGAAGTCCAACGGTATGAGAGAGGAAGCATGGAGGAATGGGTGTGTTGTGTGGGCGGTGTTTTTTCTTTGGGCCTTCATCCGTTTCTTTTTCCTACCAAATGTGAATAGTATGGTTAGAAGATAAGGAAGATATAAGATAGTTGTGAAGCTAGATTATAAGAATTTTTTGTAAAGCGGAACGGGGGTCCGCTGTTTGTACCCCTATTTTGGGAAATAAATACATACATACATACATATTTAATTTTTTTGTGTATTTTTTCGAAAAGTTCATTCGAAAACAAAAATTAAAAAAAAAAAATCTGAAAAACGGTTGACCCTAAAGGCCATCCCTGCAACGTCCCACCAATTCCATACCTAAACATTTAAAATTGCACTTACGACGTTTCTGAACTCTTCGAGCTCAAAAAAAACAATTTGTGTGTTATTTTGAGCTCTCCGAGCTCAAAGAAATAGCATTTGTATGCTTTTGAGCTCTTCGAGCTCAAAAGTCTGATAGGATTTCTGAATAAATGAATCGATTTTCATGCGGTTTGCAGAAATTCACGCAGTTTTTTAAAATCTATGATAAACTTTTGAACACAAACTGATCGAACTGAAAATCTTAGAGAAATTTGAAAAATTCATTTTTTCCGAATTTTTTCGACAACGATAACTTACGAACCAATCAACCAATTTCTACGTTCTTGGTGGTGATCGACGTAATTTTTTGAGCTCTAATAGATATTTCATGTCGTCAAAAACGATCCAAAAAGAAATCTCGAAGTTATGTGAAAAAAACACTTTTTTGGAAATTTTTCGTTTTCGATAACTCTCGAACGAATCAACCGATTTTGATGAGACTGGTGACAATCGACGTGGATTTTCAAGCTCAAGAACTGATGAGTTTTTGGAATTGATCGGTGAAGCCGTTTAAAAGGTTTTTCGAAGAAATATTTTTTTTGAAATTTTTCGTTTTCGATATCTCACGAACGAATCAACCGATTTTGACCGGTCTAACGGTGATCGACGTGGTTTTTCAAGGTTAAAAGCTGATTAGTTTTTGGAATCGCTCGGTAAAGCCGTTTAAAAGTTATTCCATAAAAACGATTTTTCGAAAATTTTGTTTTTTAGATTTCTAGAAATTTAACGAACCGAATCAATTCAAATTTTCACGAAATTGAATGGCTATGATACTCTTTGGATCGGCACCGACTTCGATCCGATCGGCTAAGCCGTTCAAAAGTTATAAAAGGTTTACATACACACACACACACACACACACACACACACACACACACACACACACACACACACACACACACACACACACACGGCGAGAAGAGTTACTGCTACCGGGCGCGTCTCCCCGAGCGGATGGGAGAACGCTCGCTGTCCTTGGATGACACTTGGATAATCTCTTAGTTGATGGGGTACAGCGGGTAGGAGCCAAGCAAAATAACCAAACAAAATACGCTCCCGTCGACCAAACTCCCCTTTAATGGGTTGGTCACACTAACTGACCTAACAAGACGAGGGTAGCGTTGTTCGCGTCCGTAGATACTGCTTTAACACCCTACACGTGCTCTCCGGGTAGTGCTAAATGAACAACACCAAACAACGATATGGAAATGTCAGAAGATATTCAAACATCGTTTACAGTACAGAGGATGGATACCTCAATGCCGGCGAGGGAAGGCGTGCAAACGGGCCCGAACTTGTCGTTATCAAGCGACCGTTACGACAGCAGAGTGGACCCCATGGCCCTGCTGTCTGGAAATACTACAGGGAGTACGCAAACAGCCCAGATGGAAGAGAACGGACAGCTGAACAACGGTCCTTCAAAAACTGGAGGACCTTTTGCTCCTGTCACAAAACAAACCTACCGAGGAAGAATAAACTCAGTACCGACTGTCACCAGCCAACAGTCACCAAAGGAGAGACTCGGCAGCAAGATTGAAGAAAAATGTCCATCATGAGATCAGAAAAATGATTACGTCTCTTGGTACGGCATATAGGCTTGCCAACAAATCATCAACGACGACAGCGTCAACGACTCAAACATCTCCGAGTCTGAGAAAAAAACCACAGTCACCTGTGGTCACTCCTAAGAAATTATCACAGCAAGGAGAGGGCAACAACAAGAAGAGACCGCTGTCCACGCCCAGCCCCTCTGCAGAAATTGACAAGCCAGCACAAAAAAAGCCAGCCCGGGATGATACTTGGACTAAAGTGACTTGGCCAAAGAAAAAAAAGGATAGAGAACAGAACCCAGCGGCTCAACCTGCTACAGCCCAAAACCAGCCAAGCAATGATGGCTCCAAAAAAACCGAGAATGAAGAGGACGAGAACTAAAGCTGTGCT